ACTAATTTTAAAAATAATTTTTAAATATATTTTTAAATAAAATAATTAATTAAAATTATAAAATAAAAACAAACTAGAACTACCCCTCTTCGTCTCCAACCATGGAGACGAAGGCCAGAGACCATCCCTTCGTCTCCGACCGTTCTAACGGCTCTGGCCGTTCTAACGTCAACAGGTTATTTTTGATCTAATTGCATGATTTTGTGTTGTTCAAAGACTCAATTGTATTGTTTTTGAGTTCTATGATATAATTACACTTTAGTATGCAGTTGGGTGGCTTATTTGATCCTTATTCCGATAAAATTATTATACTACGATCCCAAGTAGCATTTGTGTTTGTTATAATAATATTATTATTAATATTATTAGTAATTAAACCAAGTCAAAGAATTTAATAAAAACAAACATGGGTGAGTCATGTATGTTAATGTGGAACATGCCTAGATTATAGGAGTAGTACATGGAGAATTAGCTTCCTATTTATTAGCTTTCTCTTAGTATAAATATGTGGTGTATTTTCATTTGTTAAATCATCCCAGTGAATAAACATTATTCATTCTAATCTTCCTCTCTCTCTCTTCCTATTTATATATTATTATATATAAATACATAGATATATTATATATAATATATAATATATTTAATATATCTTACATTTGGTATCAAAGCTAGTCCAGTCATCCTTTCAATCCCGAAATATTTCCTGTAGTGAAATATGGCAACAAATTTCAATATTGTATGGTCGGGTCCCAAATTGGACGGTAAACTCGATTACAATTATTGACAAATTATGATGTCCACACATTTGCAAGCTCAAAATCGTTGGAGCTTTGTTGATCCCGGTCTACCCGAAGGAGCTGATGCAGCCGCTATACGGCGAGATAAATTGGCCTTGGGTCAGATTCACCAAGGTGTTCATTATTCCATTTTTGGGCAATTAGCTCGTGCTCAAACAGCAAAACAAGCTTGGGACATCTTAAAGGTGTCACACAAAGGAGTCGATCGGGCACAGAAGTCTAAGTTGCAGTCGTTGAGAAGGTTGTACGATAATTGTGAGATGACCTCTACAGAAACAGTAGATGCGTATTTCACTCGCCTTATTGATATGGTGAATAAGATGAGGCTATATGGAGATACGATTGAAGATGGTGCAGTGGTTGAAAAAGTTCTTCGAACTATGCCGATGAAGTATGACCATGTGGTGGCTTCAATAACAGAGTCACACAAAACCGAGCTCTTATCAATTGCAGAGCTGAAAGGTATGGTAGAAAGTCATATTGACAGGATTGCGTCAAAATCGGAACCACTAGCAGAAGAAGCTTTGAAGAGTCAAGTCACCCTTAATGTGACTGGCACTAATCAAAGAGGTGGAGGATCTGGTAGAGGTAGTGGAAGAGGAAGATGAGGTTCTAGTGGAAGAGGTCGTGGTAACTCCAACCAAGGAAGAGGTGGAGGTAATACCAAACAAGGTAAATTTCCATTTCATTGCTACAATTGTGGCAAGTATTGGTACAAGATTGCAGATTGTTGGTATAATGGGGACAACAATCGTGGAAATCAAGCAAACATTGCTGAAAATACTGCTGAAAAGTCTGGTGAGAATTCTGAAACCTTACTTTTGGCCAGTGATAGTTTTTCTGCAGATAAAAACATATGGTTCTTGGATACTGGGTGTAGTAACCATATGTGTGGTAAGAAAGAATTGTTTTCTGAACTGGATGAATCAATCCGGTCTGAAGTGACATTTGGCAATAAGTCAAAGGTGCCAATTTTGGGAAAAAGTAAAATCTCTATTCAGTTGAAGGATGGTACTCAAAATTTTATATCCAGTGTTTTCTATGTTCCTGAACTAGACCAAAATTTGTTGAGTATGGGTCAGCTGTCAGAAAAAGGATATAAGATACATATTGCTCAGGGGTGTTGTACCATTGAAGATGCTAAAGGAGTTTTGATTGCAAAGGTAAATATGTCCCAAAATCGACTATTTCCTTTGAAAAATTAAGCATACTCTCCTTGATTGCTTTAATTCTGAAGTTTGTGATGATAATTGGTTATGGCATATGCGGTTTGGGCATTTTCATTTCTCTGGGTTAAACTATCTTGCAAGAAAGGAACTTGTTTCTGATTTACCTGTTGTGAATGTCCCTGATCGTATATGTGAGATTTGTGTGATTGGGAAGAAGCATAGAGATCCCTTTCCCGTGGGCAAGTCAAGGAGAGCTACAAAATAGTTGGAGATTGTTCACTCAGACCTGTGTTCGTTGGAGGTTCCCTCACATGGAGGTTGTAAGTACTTTATTACTTTCATTGATGATTTCAGTAGAAAAACATGAGTTTACTTTCTGAATCAAAAGTCTGAAGCATGTGATGTTTTCAAACAATTTAAGGCTTTTGTTGAAAAGCAAAGTGGTTATGAAATTAAAATCTTGAGAACTGATAGAGGTACAGAATATATTGCCTGTGATGATTTTCTGAAGAAGAAGGGTATTCAACATCAGATGACAGCTAGATACACTCCACAACAAAACGGAGTGGCTGAGAGGAAGAATAGATCTATCGTGGATATGGTGAGGTGCATGTTGAAATCCAAGAATCTGCCTAAACCTTTTTGGGCAGAAGCTGTTGCTTGTGCTGTCTATGTGTTGAATAGGTGTCCAACTAAGAGTGTCCGTGATATGACACCTGAGGAAGCTTGGAGTGGGAAGAAACCCTCTATAAGAAATCTTAAAGATTTTGGATGTTTGGCATATGCACATGTGCCATATCCATTGAGAAAGGAATTGGATGATAAAGGTGAGATGTGCATATTCATTGGTTATAGTGACGCTTCAAAGGCTTATAAACTATACAATCCTGAAACTAAAAAGGTTGTTATAAGTCGTGATGTCACTTTTGATGAATATGGTGCCTGGGATTGGTTAGCTAAAGATGAAAGTTTAGTTGTTATTCCTGCTGTTGAAAATATTGTTGAAGAGCAACCGATTCCAGATAATGTCCAGTCTCCTTCACAGCCAGAATCGTCAATTCGACGATCTCAGCGCGAGTGCTATTTACCAGCTTGCTTGCAAGATTATGTTTTGGGTCATGATAATGACCTGTCTGATGAAGAGATTATTCAATTTGCTCTCTTTGCAGGTTGTGATCCTTTAACTTTTGAGGAGGCTGCTACAGAAACTCATTGGCTTAAGGCGATGGATGAGGAGATACGTGCCATTGAAAAGAATGGTACTTGGGAGTTAACAGATTTACCTCCTGGGAAGAAGCCAATTGGAGTAAAGTGGGTTTACAAAACGAAATACAAGTCAGTATATCCAACTTGAAGACGGAGACATTTTTCAAATTGAAGAAGGAAATTGGAATGACCAATACATCCAACTTGGTTTAAAGGAGGCAATGTTATAATAATATTATTATTAATATTATTAGTAATTAAACCAAGTCAAAGAATTTAATAAAAACAAACATGGGTGAGTCATGTATGTTAATGTGGAACATGCCTAGATTATAGGAGTAGTACATGGAGCATTAGCTTCCTATTTATTAGTTTTCTCTTAGTATAAATATGTGGTGTATTTTCATTTGTTAAATCATCCCAGTGAATAAACATTATTCATTCTAATCTTCCTCTCTCTCTCTCTACCTATTTATATATTATTATATATAAATACATAGATATATTATATATAATATATATTATATTTAATATATCTTACAGTGTTGACAAAAAAATGTGGGAACGCAGAGAAGGTACGTGGAGCTCTACAGTAGTGAATATCAGCTGAGTGGGAGTTGATCAGATAACACAATGCATAAGGGCATCCCCAATAGCACATCTTAGATGGATTTTGGAATAGTGACAAATTAGGAGCAAGATTTTGAGTTAATGGGAGGTCTAAATTTTAAGGAGTTCTCATGTTCTGCAGGAGAAAAGAAGAAAACAGTTTAGCGCAATTCACGGACCAGTGGGACCATCTGCTTGGACGCCCAATTGAAGCTCTGTTTTGTTAAGCATGTGAAATTTAATTTTTTTTTTTTTTTTTTTTGTTTTAAGCTAGTCAACGGCCAGCTATTTCTTATTCCGTTTTTTTTTTTTTTGTTACTTATTTTTATTATTTTTTAAGTTTTTGTCTTTTGGATATTGTTATTAAATTTTTACGTAGTAAAAATATTAACAATTTTAAAAATCTATAATTGTAAATTTATTTTAATTTGGATATGTGTAATTTAAATATAATAAAAATAATAATTGTAATTATAATTTTTATAATTATGATAAATAAAGAAATAATTAAAATATAGTAATAAAATAGTCAGTCCATAAGAATTTGTGAAAAATTTAAAATTAATGAAAAGAGAGATTTTGTAATTGAATGAGATAGTGAATAATGAGTTGGATATTGAAAGCCATGAAAATCTAGGGTAAAATCCCTAAGGCTAACCTCAACCCAGCAAGTGAACCACTTGCTAGGTGAGGTGGCTAAGAAATATATTATTCTTTTATTATATAACTTGCCACGTAGGAAAGCAAGTTAGCAAGCACTTTCTAACTTAGAAAGTCATTGCTAATTGTTTCAAAGCTGCAAGGGGGCAGCTTTTGTCACTTTTGCTGACAAAAGCTGCTGTTTTATTTTTCTTTTTTAACTTATATTATTATTTAATTATTATATTTATAATATAATATAAAAGTGAGACCATTTTAGAAAGTGAGAGAATATTGCAGGGATATAGAACAAATAGTAGATAATTTGTAAATTTGATGATGTGAAAGTGGGACCCATTTTAAAAAGTGAGAGAAATTGCTGGGATAAGGACAGCCTAACACCGCCGAAAACACCAAATACGTGGGAGGAAAAGATGGAAACCATAACGGACCGACTTACGAGGGGTACCAACGCCCCTGATTTTGCCACGTGTATGTGATGCTCGCCGTTGTTTCTCTCCTCCGTCGCACTATAAGTACGCGCCACCAACACCGTACCACTCCATCGTCACATCACATCTTCTTCAATTCTTCATCTTCTTGACTACTTCTTCTTCAGTTCTTGTGTTATTCATATATTATCTTCAAGCTAGGTTTTTGTATCGTTGTGAAAATGTCTTGCTGCGGAGGAAACTGTGGCTGCGGCTCTGCCTGCAAGTGCGGCAGCGACTGCGGCGGGTAAAAATCCAAACCCTTCTCCGGCACCGGAATCTATCTGTTTTAAGCTAATTTAATTACACAAAATGAAATGATGCAGGTGTAAGATGTACCCTGACCTGAGCTCTTCTTCGGAGACCGCCAAAACCACGCCTCAGACCCTTGTTCAAGGCGTTGCGTCCCAGAAAAAGTGCGTATTTGGTCATGTAAATAGTTCATGTATTTGGTCATGTCTACTGAATTACTAAGTTATTGTAATTTATCTCAGTTCTGCATGTCTAAAGTGAATAGATATGGCATTTGGTCGTGTCCGGTCTGCTGAATTACTGAGTTATTATAATCTATTTTGGTTCTGCATGTCTAAAGTGAATAGATCTGACATTTGGTCATGCTTGGTCTGTTGAATCATTGAGTTATTGTGATTTATCTGGTTTCGCCTACTCCCTCAAGATGGGGCATGAGGGTCCTTAACCTTGTTATGTTGGTTTTATTGCAGGGAGAGTGAGGGATGTGTGATGGGAGCTAAGGAGGGATGCCATTGCGGGCCAACTTGCCAATGCGACCCCTGCACCTGCAACTAACACAAAGGGCGGAGAATTAAGAGTGAGTGAAGATCAGAGGATATATTCCGCATATCCGTTCCCATAGTTAGCTAGCTAGCCTGGAATAAGAGTAGTGGTGTATGTATGTTTGTTCTTTTTGACTTATATTATTATGAGTTAGGTTGATCTCAGAGTCTCTGCTTCTATATGTACTTATCAAGTTATCGCCCATAAATAAATGTTTAATTTTAAAATTTATTGTTTTTCTCTCTTCTTTTTCTTAGCTAAAGATATTGCATGCAATTGAGATTATTAGATGATGATAAAAAGAGGTAACAATTATTGTCCATTATTGCTAGGGCTTTGAGGTTTCAAACTGCTAGCTTACTAGAATTTTTTTTTTTTTCTTTTTTTTTTTTTGTTTTGGGGGAGATTGTGTGCTACATGCAACATATATTCTTTGTACTTCCAGTTTACCAACATAACAGATCCATCTTCTTCTTTCACCTTATCTCTCTAAAACCGCATCCATTCATTCACTCCATCTGCGACATATATTCTTTGAACTTTACTATTTGATAGAATATATATTGTTGGGAATTTCAATTGTAATGTTTGGTATACATAAGAATTGAAAGAAAATAAGTAGTATAAAGTTCAAAATGTCCCTACTTATTATTATTATTATTATTATTATTATCATGGAATAAGTAGTATCAAGTCTAAAATGTCACTATTTATTATTATTATTATTACTATGGTCCACACAAGCTGTATGGATCATATTTTGTACAAAAATAATGTATTTTTAGTATATTAAAAATGTATTTTATATTCAAGGAAATAATGCACATTTAGTACAAAAATAATGTGTTTTTTTTTTTTTTTTTTGAAAATGAAATAATGTATTTTTAATATATTAAAAACATACCATTTTTATGGTTCATACAGCACTCTGTGGACTATGGTCTACACAGTAATTTGCCTTATTCTTATTATAAATTTTAAATAACCAAATTTAAATTTTGCTTTCGAAAATTTATTAAAATGTTGTATAAATGAACCTTTGAATTGCATAATGAAAGTAATATAATAAAATAGATAAGGGAGTTTCGAGAAAACATATTTGATTGAGGTTGGCCTACTAATTGACATTTTGTGTTAAGAATAGAAGAAAAAGATACACTATAATCAAAAGATGTGAAACATCATTTTTAGGTTAAAAATAGAGGGATAATTTTGTCTCAAAGTTACTTTTTATAATTCATGAAATTAAAATAATAAGGGGTCATGGCATTCTTTTTTTGAATTACAATGTAGTATCTGTTCATACTTTCTCAACCTACTGAAACACAAAGAACCAAGGCTCAAACTCACAATCTTCTAAATGGAAGTCCAACCCAGGTACCATTAGACCACATAGTCTTGGTGGGGTCATGACATTCTAATTCCATGAAAATGAAGAAATTTTAATGTCACAGAATTGCATTTGGTAAATTACGTTGTGCAACCGTGTGCGCATAATTTGAACTAAATATCCAGAATGAATGAACTAAATATCCAGCATGAATGAACAAAATATCCAGCATGAATGAAAAAAAAAAAATCAGTTTCGATTTTTGTCAACGGCGTTATGTTGTGCGTAATTTGAACTATATATCCAGAATGAATTAACTAAATATCCAGAATGAGGGAATTAGGTAGGAAATAAATTGTAATTTCATGGGGGAAGAATAATGTGGGAATAAAGTGGTAATTTAAATTCCATTTTGATTTGCATGAATAGAATTATTGGACTATAGACCACACAAGTTGTATGGACTATATTTTGTATGTTACAAAATAATGTACTTTTAGTATATTAAAAATGTACTTTGTATTTAGAAAAATTACATTATTTGAATACTAAAAGCATATTATTTGCATATTATTTTGGAATAAGGTTCAAATTGACCACTGAACGTAACCTGAAAATGCAATTAGGTCATTGAACGAAAAAAGAAAAAAGTGCAATTAGACCACTGAACACTCTAAATATATGCAATTTCACCTTATAGCAGGTTACCTGCTTACGTGGCAACTGAGTTGACATTTTTAATAATTTTTAAATAAATTTTAATAATAAATTTAAACAAAATAAAATTAAAAAACGACGGGGCCACCCCCTTCCCCCACCCCCCTCTTCCTTCGTCTCCGCCGGGGTGAGGAAGGGAGTGGCCGCCGTCGTTTTATTTTTTATTTAATTTTTTTAAAAAAATTATTATTAAAATTTATTAAAAATGTCAACTCAGCTATCACGTAAGCAGGTAACATGCTAAAATTAATGGTAAGCTGTTATCGGGTGAAATTGCATACATTTGGAGTGTTCAGTGCCCTAATTGCACATTTTTGGAGTGTTCAGTGGCGTAATTGTACTTTTTTTTTTTTTTTCATTCAGTGGTCTAATTGCTTTTTTAGGTTAAGTTCAGTGGTCAATTTGAACCTTATTCCTATTATTTTTTTATAATGTATATTCAGTACAAAAAATAATGTACTTTTTTTAAAAAAAAAAATTACTTTTAATATATTAAAAATGTACTTTCTTTTATAGTACATACAACACTATCTGTATCATGGTCCACACAATAATTTGCATTATTATTGTTATAAATTCTAAATGACTAAATTCAAATTTTGCTTTTAATAATTTATGTAAAACGTTGTATAAATGAACCCTAGAATTGCATAATGAAAGCAATAAAATAGATGAGGTTGGCGTACTAATTGATGTTTTGTCTTAAGAGTAGAAGAAAAAAATACGCTATAATCAAAAGAGAAGTCAAACATCAATTTTAGATTAAAAATAGAGATGGATAATTTTGTCTCAAAATTACTTTTTATTCTTCTTAAAATCTATGAAATTGAAATACGGGGGAAGGGGCATGTGATTCTAATTCCATTAAAAGAGAATTTCAATGTCGCAGAATTACAATTCTCTCCAACTAAACGAAAGAATTTGTTTATCTTCAAAAGTATGTGAGAATTAAGTGAGAATGAAATTGTAATTCTCTCCAACCAAACGCATTAGTTTCTTGTTCTGATCATCGAACCTAGCATCCATCTTTACAAACTTTGAAATTTAGGTTCTTAACAGTGGTTTCCAGGTTTGCAAATTTTGATTATATACCAATTATCACAAAGTCAATTTAAAATACAAATGTAATGTCTGACTTTCAAAATATTGGTTAATTAAACAATTAAATATTCTAATTGCATATATTTTTATTAACACCTATCTTCATAACTAGTTTTTTCTATGCGCGATATGCAAAAACATATGTCCAAAAATATATGCTCAATATTTATATTCTTTAAAAAGAAACAAATCCCTACTAATTAAAATCTCTATGAAATCAAATTTATTTATTATAATATAATACATAATGTCTACAAATATTATTATCATTAAAGAATATAAGAAAATATGGTGGATGCATGTGCATGGTAACAAAAATAGAAAAGATAACGGAAGTTATATTGGTAGAGGTATTTTTGTTCAAAAAATTATATAATACAACTCTAAAAGCACAATGTACCAAATAATTAGCATTAGAGCTATGCGTCAGACGGGTTCGGACGGATCGGGGTGTCGGATGGTCACTCCGATCGGATTTCAATTTTTGAAAGTGACATCCTATCCGTTCAATTCTGACGGAATATCCGTCGGATAATTGTCCGAACTACTCCGACGGATATCCGATGTATCCGTTGGACTAGTTCGGTTTTCCAACAAAAAAAAAATTCTAAAATTTAAAATTTTACTTCAAATAAAACAATTTTATACATGTTTCACAGTTTCATTGAACACTTAAGTACTTTAAGCCCCTAACTAGTAACTACTTAACAGCAAAAATAACTTAAGTAAACTTAGAAAACATTAAACATATAATCAAATTAACAAACATACAAGTTAGAACTCAAAGTTCAAAACATACAAATTTACATATTAAGTTACAAATTTAAAACTTTGAGTTAGAATTTCAATTCTTCAAAGGCAAAATAACAGCATGTCAGCATTAGCATTTAGCAATCAGCAATTCAGCATCATTCTCCAATCTCTAAGCAGCAGCAATTCAGCAATTCAGCAATTCAGCCATCAGCCATCAGCCATGGAGCAAAAGAAAACCAGAAATCCAAATACCAAAAGTCCAAATACCCAATATACAACTAACATATGAATATATGATTATCTAATATTGAGCAGTCTATTCTTCTTCCTGATAAGTGATAACATAAAAACATAATAAGTTCAAAACATTTCATAATTTAATGCATTGTGCCACTGAATATTGTAACAATTGATTGAGTTAAAGGATTATAGATTAAACTACTAAAAAGTGCTCAAATAGTTTTTTTTTTTCATATCAAGTTAGGATTGGGGGCACATTACTCAATGAGTATGACATAAACATCACACTTCATAGGCAACATACCAAACCCAATTCTATATATTCAGAGAACATGGTGGAAGCATCATCATTGCACAATAATACTTATACAGTTATATAGATACCTACTCAGAAGTCAGAACTAAGAACAAATCACTACTGATTACTGCATAGTGAATACTTATACTGATACCTGAGCTCAATGACAGCAACATTTAAAATGTTACCTAGCCATGAGCACTTTCCAGTTTTCCAGTTTTCAGGTTCCCAGCCTCATGAGAGACATTGATTTGAATCTGATACACATACATGATACACTGATACAGAGAGTCATAAATTTATCATGAAATCAAATAAGTAATCACAAATTCAGAATTAGAAATCATAAAAGCAAAAAAAAAAAAATGTAAACATAAAAGAATTGTAGGCAGTGAAGATCCAACTCCAGTGCTGGATGTGCTGCACAACTCTGCAAAACAAATACAAAATGAAGTTAAAACTTAAAATCAAATAGGTAATAGTTATTATAAACAATTAAACAGACAAGGTAAAAATTATAATATGTTAAAGTATATACCTTTCTCAATCCTTTCAACATCATCAATGTTTTCTTCAACAGATATAGGGTGATTGGCTAACCTTAACCAATCCTGTGCACACACCAGTGCCTCAACAATTCTAGGAGTTAGGGAACTCCTAAAGGCATCTAGTATCCTTCCACTGGTACTGAATGCTGATTCTGAAGCAACAGTAGATATTGGAACAACTAGAATATCCTTTGCCATTTTAGATAAGACAGGGAACCTTTCAGATTGCTGCTTCCACCA